CAAAGCTGCTAGAAAACCATAAAAATTTTGATATAACAGGAAGTAGGGACTCCTGTAAACTGAACTTGAACATCAATGTGATGCTCATCATACCCAAGCAACAAATACATATCCTTCTCCATCCATAACAAAGCAAGAACCCCACTCAACCCATTCAGCGCCACTACAAACAAGCTTGCAAATCCCAACATTGTACATATTTGTTTTAATTTGGGCCATCCTACCTTTGTCTCTTGCAAGAAAATTAAGTTGTGCTGCTTAGAGAGAACTATATCTCATAATTTTGAAACTGGATGTGGGCTCCCAAGCCCACGGCAGTTCCAAGTTAAAGTACTCATAATGACTAGCGAGCCTGGAGTTGAGGACACGCCCCACATCCATTTTTTGAATTATCAACCTCCAAAGAGTCATTTGCGGTAACTGAGTCTTTCGTATCTGTGAGAGTCAATCCTCTAACTGATCTTCCGAAACAGATTCTTCCACTGCAGTTTTCGTATCATGAACGAGTACACCATATTGCATTTGACCCTTATCACTTCCCATATTCTATCCCACAAAATCAGGCATTGGATTGTTACTAAATCTTCCAAAATTAGGAGATTTTTCTGCTCCTACCTTATCCAAACTACTACCACCTTGAGCCGCCATCTCTGGTCGTGACCACTGAGCACTACCCTGACCAGTAATTCGATTGTTAGCTTGCATCCATAGTCCAAAAAGGAACTGATCCCTTATAACACCTGGAGTTTGAAAGAGTTTCCAAAAATACCGATCAGAATGCCTCATCAAACCACAAAAAAAAAAAAAAAAAAAAAAAAAAAAAAAAAAAAAAAAACCACAAAAAAAAAAAAAAAAAAAAAAAAAAAAAAAAAAAAAAAACAAAATGTGCCCTACCTTTCATAGCCACACGTTCACTTCTTAACCCAGAAACAAGATCATGAAGTTGCACCCATATATATATATGTATGGAGTCCAAGTAAGCTTAAGGCCTCTAAGGCCCGTAGTAAAATTAACTCATGTAAATTCATTTCTTTAAAACCAACTATAGAACAATAAGCCCATATTATAGTATTAATAAATTATACTGTCGATTTATATTTCTAGCCTAGCTTCAATATTTCAAATAATTCATAGTTGGGGCCTGTATTTTATATACGATTCATGTAATTTATAATATGAGCAAACTAGTTCACGAGTATTCTTGATTAGATAATTAGAAAATCCACAGGAATTAGAAAATCCACAGGTTTATTGAACAAAACACTAATAATTTTGACATGATAAATTGTGACACAAAACTCCCTAACTGTGGAGCTCAGTAACTGGATGTGGATACATTTTTATATATAGTACTATATATTTAAACAGGTGTATTGGAACAAGACCCTGTTAGATTTTAAAATTCCAATGGTATTGGATCTAGGTTTTTTTGGAGTCTATTAAAATATTGGATATTAAATCTAGACTCTTATAAAATCCACAAAAATCTGATGGTATTCAATTATGACTTTTTAAAAGTCCATATAAAATTGGTAATATTCAAAAAATTATTAATTTGGAAGGATTTTACAAAATTATTGATTTCATTAGATTTTAGGGTGCTTCATATCAATAAAAGAGTCATGGACAAATTCATCCTCCAACCCAAAGATTTTAAAAATATTTTAAAATTTTTAAAAAATATTTTAAAATCTAACAAAAGATCTTAAATTCAGAATACTTCCTTAATAAGGAATGGAAGTGGAGCGGATACCCGTGAATTTTAACTACTTGTATAGGTATTCTTAAAAGTTTTACCTACTTGTATTAATTCTAACACATTTAAATATCCATTTAAGGTATCCGTATTCCGAACCAGTTTTAAAAACTTAATACTCGAAGTTGGAAATCATAATGTCCAAACTCATTTAAATTAAGCCTCTTGAATGGGTAGGGTATCTGTGGAATCTCTAAATTATCCAAATTCGAACTTATTTAAAATACCATTATTTACTAATAATGTACATTTTTTACTAATAATGGATAGGATACCTGCGCGTATTCACTACCGAATCTATTTAATATAATGGTTAACGAATAGCAGGTATCCAAATATCTATATATGTACCCTTATATCTATTACGGTTAGTAATTTCACCACTCATATCCGTTACAGGTAGTAATTTAACTGTGCATATTTGTTCCAAACCCAGTTATAATTACTCATATCCTCTTTAAATGGATTGGAACAGAACGGGTATCCTAAAATACTCATACCACTTCCATCCCTACTCCTTGAAGTGTAAAAAAATGTATTAATTATTGGATTAGTTTCGAATTAATTCATGTGCTGAGAATTTGATATTTTGACAAAAATTAATAACAATACTATTGTAAAATTTCAGAATTAATTTGATTATTTTTTAGAATTTTAATGGGTTGATTTCAATTAAATAATGATTTTAATCAAATAAAAAAATTGAAAAAGTTTTGAAATAGTTGAAGAACTAAAGAATACAATCTACCATTGTTGTGACCAGACCGTCAGGCTTCGTGAGCCGCAAGTGACAGACCATGCATCAGGCTTATCTCGATGTGTGCCGCCTCCTTGCGTGAGCTCTAGCAGTTGGCGTAGGTCCTGGTTAACGGTGGTCGCGAGTTTCAGTTTTAAATTAATATATATATCTTTACACCTACGATTTTTCGACGAGACGGTTGTCATTCAGTCAAAGGATGGGAAGTCTATGATCTTCTGACCACATTGCGACTGTTCTGAGAGCAGAGGATGGCCGCTGGCGATGTTGGCCATTGCAGGCCTTTCACTGTCAGCGGCGGTAAGGTTTTAATGAAGAAAATAAAACAATTTTGGAGAAGTTGATGGATTTTTACTTTTTCATCCCTCATTATTTTTCAAATTTTCAATTAGGTCCTAAAATTTTTAATTTATTCAATTAGATCCTGAAATTACTTTTAATTGGATATATAGAAACATTGCAATTCCATCAAAGTCAATCAAATTCAATCTAGACTCTTATGAAATCCACAAAAATCTGATGATATTCAATTATGACTTTTTAAAAGTCCATATAAATTTGATGGTATTCAAAAAATTATTGATTTGGAAGGATTTTACAAAATTATTGATTTCATTAGATTTTAGGGTGCTTCATATCAATAAAAGAGTCATCAGATCCATCCTCCCAACCCAAAGATTTCAAAATATCCTTTTGAAAATCAAACCAAATTCTTAAATTCAATACTCTTTAATCAAGGATTGGAGTGGATGAATAAATTTGATGGTATTCAAAAAATTATTGATTTGGAAGGATTTTACAAAATTATTGATTTCATTAGATTTTAGGGTGCTTCATATCAATAAAAGAGTCATTGACAAATCCATCCTCCAACCCAAAGATTTCAAAAATCTTTTAAAATCAAACAAAGTCTTAATTCAATACTCTTTAATAAGGATGGAAGTGGAGTGAATACCCATGAATTTTAAACTACTTGTATAGGTATTCTTTTAAAGTTTTACTACTTGTATCCATTCTAAACTCATTCAAATATCCATTTAATTATCCGTATTGGAACCCGTTTAAATTTTAATACTCGTTTCTGTCCAAAACTCATTTAAATTACCTCTTAAATGGGTAGGGTACCTGTGAATCTTAAATTATCCAAATTCGAACTTATTTAAAATATATTTTTTACTAATAATGGATAAGGTACCTGCGGATACCCACTACCGAATCTGTTTAATATAATGGTTAACGAGTAACGGGTATCCAAATATCTATATACGTACCTTATATCTATTACGGGTAGTAATTTCACAACCCATATCCGTTACGGGTAGTAATTTAACTGCGCATATTTGTGTCAAACCCAATTATAATTACTCATATCCTCTTTAAATGAATTGGAGCAGAGTGAGTATCCTAAAATACTCATACCACTTCCATCCTTACTCCTTAAGGTGTAAAACAATGTATTAATTGTTGGATTAGTTTCGAATTAATTCATGTGCCGAGATTTGATATTTTGATCAAAATTAATAATAATACTGCTGTAAATTTTCAAAATTAATTTGATTATTTTTTAGAATTTTTATGGGTTGATTTCAATTAGATAATGATTTTAATCAAATAAAAAAATTGAAATAGTTTTGAAATAGTTGAAGAACTAAAGAATACAATCTACCATTGTTGTGGCCAGACCGCTAGGCTTCGTAAGCCGCAAGTGGCGAACCATGCATCAGGCCAGTTTCGATGTGTGCTGCCTCCTTGCTTGAGCTCTAGCAATTGGCGTAGGTCCTAGTTAGCGGTGGTCGCTGGTTTTCAGTTTTAAATTAATATATATACCTACGATTTTTCGACGAGATGGTTATCGTTTACTCAAGGGACGAGAAATCTATGATCTTCTGACCATATCGCGACTGTTCTTTGAGCAGAGGATGGCCGCTAGTGATGTTGGCCATTGCAGGCCTTTCACTGTCGGCGGCGGTAAGGTTTTAATGAAGAAAATAAAACAATTTTGAAGAAGATGATGGATTTTTACTTTTTCATCCCTCATTATTTTCCAAATTTTTAATTAGGTCCTAAAATTTTTAATTTATTCAATTAGATCCTCAAATTACTTTTAATTGGATATATAGAAACATTGCAATTTCATCAAAGTCAATCAAAATCTATATATAAAAAAAAAATTCCACCAATTTCATAAAACTCTATATAGTGGTATCTCTGAAAATCTTGTGAAATCCTTCAATTTCATCAAGCTTAACAATTCTTTTAAAATCTTACACATTCCTAATTCAATACACCCCTTTACATTGTTTGTCTTTGTTGTTTATGATCTTTGACCGATAAAAGTTCATCCTTTGCTAAATAGGAATGACTTGCCTTTCCATTTGGTTGCTGCGTGTATAATATTAGTTGAGTTGGATTGTCAGCGATTCAAATCAATCTTAAATCATCTAGGTTAAATGATTTTCATCCTTTCTAATAGGATAGGATGTAATCTGAGATCTTTAGAAATTTCAAAATTCTTATCACTCAATTCCCTTTATAAACATACAAGTGAACCCATGTACATATAAATGTCGATGGCATATGATAAAAGTTTCAATAAAAGGTGAATTTAACTCGATTTACATCACATCATAGCATATTTGCCAGCTGAGGAAAACGTTGCAGTAACCAAGCTACACCTTGTATGATAACCTGCATGATTTAAAATTTAAATCATAACTATGTAAAATAAAAAAAAGAACAATTTACTCATGGAGGGACTTAATTGCATTTAAGAATTTGATTGAAGGATTGAATTAAGATAAACCATACCAAAGCTGCATCTCCAGGCTTGATTGCAGGCTCAACACTGTCACGCCCATAACTATTTTCAAATGTCCACAATATTTTAATATGAACCTTTGTAATAAACAGACTTCAAAGTTCAAATGAAATAGAAATTATAAGTTAGGTAACACTTACATTATTTGTCTTTTGTTGTTTATGACCTCTAGCCGATAAAAGCTGCATCCTTTGCTAAATGGGAATGGTTTCCCCTTCCATTCTATTACATTCATTTATAATACGAGAATATGACTTATCTACCTTTGGTTTATGGGCTCATTCACGGATCAAATTAATAAAAGATATTTTTTTTTTTTTTTTTTATATTTTTTTTTTTTTTTTTTGAAAATAAAAGTAGTATTTTTGACCATTCACTCAGAAAAAATTTTTTTTTTTTTTTTTTGAAAATAAGAGTATTTTTGACCATTCACTCAGAAAAAAAAAAAAAAAGTAAAGTGATTGTAATTTATAATATAAAGAAAAAAATATTATAAAAAATACATTTTTTCATTTTTTTATCTTTCTCCTAAATAAAATATTTTAAATTATAATAAAGATAGAATCAAATATTTAGAATAAATTTTAAAAATAAAAAATAAATTTAAAAAAAAATAAAACTTAAAATTTTGAAATGGTTAATTATCTATATGTATTTCTTTTAAAAATAATTTTAATAAATTATATCCAATCAATTAATAAAATGTAATTTTCTAATTGAATCATAACTACGTTATGATAGAATATTTAAATTTCATTAAGGGCATCGAAAATCTCATTATTCCTTCCACTATTCCCATATTTACATACAGTATAGACTAGCTTTTTTTTTTTATAATGTGCACGTTGTTATTATTTGTTTTATATAATATTAAGTATGATTATAATTTTGTTCTTCTATTGTCTAAATTTTTATAGTGTTTAAACATGATTTCATATGGAACAATTTTAAATTAAAATATATCTCTATTTAAATAGTATTTATATTATAAATGTATAATATTATTATTAAACTAATTTTTATATGATAGGATGACATCAAAATCCAATATATATTTAATAAAATAATTATAGATAATAAAATGAAAAAAATATTATTAATTATAATATTAGACGTCATTTAGCATTTAAAATTTAATTTAGAAAAAAAAAGCATTTGATTAAAAATAACTAACTATTGATGAATTGAATTTCAGTCGTTTCATTCATTTTCACGTAATTAAAATAGAATTAACATAATAATAAATGAAAACAGAGATGTATATATTAAGTAATTTAATATCTATTAATAATACAATTTTAAAATATATAAATTAAATAAAAAATTTCTTGCTGATTTAAATTAAGATGATCTAATAAATACTAATATTTCTTTATATATATATATATATATCTAGACTATTTAAAAGTTTTAAAAATTATAATTATGTATTTATATATTAGTTATTAATTAACAAAATAATCCCTCACACTTTTGTCTGTTTGTATATTAATTATTTAAATATTAGATATGTATTTTAAAATTAAATTTTTTGATTCACTGTAACTAAGCATATTTTAGAACATTCTGAACTTTATCAATGATATTTTATATTTAAAATCCTAAAAAAATAATGAATAAGGATTAGTTGAAAGAATACAAACCTAAATGCCACGTGACACCAACTGCTAATGAATCCTCAGCAGATATATCATCAATAACAAATTGGAGGTCTTTGCTGATAGAATCATTGAACTTCTTGAAGAACTCCAGTATTGCCTGCACACAATTACCCAATTGCCCTTCAATTTCTTTACAGGAGGATAAGGTCTGTCTAGAATTTAGTGGACTGTACCTTGCGACCAACGAAAGGACGAGGATAGATGAGGTCCTCGTACACACAATTCTCTGCAATGAGCTTCTCTACAAAGGAGAGATCGTGATCGTTGATTCCTTGATAAAAGCTCTTCACTACCTCTGATGCAGAGTAATCATCTTCATCTTTGCTTTTCGGTGATGAAACAACAGTGACCGTTTGATTCTCTGATGATGAAGATGAGATTTTGGTTTGTTGGGCCCACTTTCTTCCCTTAATACTGAAAATTCTGCAACTTTCTGATTTAGCTAGCCGGAGAGGAGGAGGCATTAGCGTTGGAGCAAGAAGATGAGATGTAGCAGACCTCGTCAACATGATTTGTTATGGTTTTCAAATTCAAATCGAAAGGGTTAAGAGGCGAAAAACTGTATTGTTAGTGAAACGATAAGCATTCTCCACTTTAATGCTACACTTTAATTGAAAAATTAAATTATATTCATGATTCGATGGAATACGCAATAAAAAGTTATTTTGCTTTTCTTTTATCTTTAATTCATTAATATATTAATAAAAGTCTTTTATTTAATAAATAATTATAAAGGTTATCACGAGAAAAATAATTATTTACATAAATAAATTTCGAAATTTTACAAATATTTTGGCACATCCAAATAATAAATAACATGCAAACAAAATAAAACAGAGAGAGTATTAAAATTAAATATATATATGTGTGGGTTCAAGTTTAAATCCTAGCATTTTTATCTTATTGAGTTGAATGATTAAAAAGTGATATTAAGGGCTGAATATTGAATGATTAAGACTGTTTGATAAACAAGATCGCTGAATTATCTTAATAAATATATTTTTACATTTTTAAACTTCTACTTAAATTAAATTTAATTGAACTAGTATTTTTTTTTTTTTGAAAATTAACTTATTTAATTTATTTATATTAAAATTTTAATTAATTAAATAAATAAGTGTAAACTAAATCTTTGATTACATCTAACTCCCATAGTTAATTTTATTATGTAGGTCAAATTAAAAACCGTGTGCCCTAATTAGTTAAATAGAATCACACATGATGGGTCCAATTAAAAACTATGTGCCATAATTAGAGCTCTGTCATTTGATTTCTAAATAGAATTTTATTCCTTAATTCATTATGACTAATAAATTGATTCATGTCATTTTCGTGTCTGTAAAATGATCATTTTACTTAAGATAATCTTTTTGACAGAGAGTGTAAATATTTTTTACCCTTCCAATAAAATGTATTTTTTAAAAATTAAATTTATATTTTTAAATTTATAAATATTGATACTGTTTATCAATCCAATTAACCAGCACGTATATCTCAATTGCCCACATCAAAAGGCGTGTGGCACAATGACACGCACTTCCAATACCGGATATCTACTGTGGCTGGAGTTTCTACGTAGGCCTAGTTAATTTTTCTCCTCAAAATTTTCTCTAAAATAAAATTTTGGACTAATTTAATAATTTTTTTTTGATGTTTTTTTCTTTTTATTTGTTCCACAAATATTTCTACACCCATTTTAGATTTGAGATTCATCTCTTTTCGAAATTCATAATTGTCCCTTTTTCATAAGTATTTTTTTTTATAATAACAGATTATATAACATTTTACATTAAAAGGGTTAAAAACCTAAAATTTAAAAGTTTCCCTTTCTTCTTCGACGGTCGGCCACCAGTAAGCTTTCACCGGTGTTCCACCTCCTTTCCATTTTTTTATTTTTTACAATAATCCTCATATTTATATACAGATTTAAGTTATTATCGTCAAAATATTGGATTTAGTGTTGCCCGTGTCATAGGATTTTGTTCTCAGATCTAAATCTGAGTTGTTGTCACTATTATGGTTATTTTGTCTAACATCTTTTGTTATTTGGATAGTTATGCAAAAATAAGTGTAGATCTAAGGTAATCAAATTAGACTTCTAGAAAGACTATGAAGTTGAACAGTAACCCAAATAGAGCAAGCGATCGCTTATGACACAAATATTATGCTCTGTCAACTCGATCAGATATTTCAAATCAAGATTATATTTTTTTTACTTCTTTGTACAAGCGATTGATTATTAGACTTACTATATAAAAATATTAAACCATTGATCTATATCTCATATCTGCATATAGTTTTCTCCTAGTTTGATTTCTTTAAAAAAAAAAAAAAGTATTTTTTTACGAATCAAATTTTAACCTTGCAATTGCTCGTTTAATTCAACGTGTTTTACCATTTATTTCTAAACCAAGCATATGAATTATATACTTATTTAAATAAACTTTTTTTTATTATTTAACAAGTCTAATTCATATTTTGATTTCCCTAATTGAAAAGTAAAATTAGGATTTTTATGTTAAAATGACTAAAAAACTGATTTTAAACCTAATTGAGTATATTGAGAAAATCTCCCAGGTAATAGGAATGTCAATATCATAAACCGTCCATAATGATGACTACTTTTGACCCTTGTGATCAAAGTGGCCTCTCCAAAAACTTAATAATGATAATCAACTTTCTTTCCATAAACAAAAATATTCTCTCTCTCTTTTGATTTATTGAATCAAAATTGAGTTTTGGATCCGTTTTTTAAATGAGCTTTCAATTAGTAAATGAATTGTGCTAACTTTTTAATTATAGCAAGCGTTTTGACTATGTAATTGAATGAGAGAAATTTATATCAATGGCTCTTATTATCTGTCTTTCAAGGGCACTGATTATTAGAGAGCTAAGGAAATTGGTCTTTTGAATGAAAATTTCTATTAAATCAAAAGGCAAATTGAACATTATTCCAAATTAATTTTATATTTACACTAAATTGCAAACAAAGCAATCCATAAATTGGCCATCTCATCCATTGGCCATCTCATCCACAATCACCTTTCTATAGCCACTAGGTCTATATCCACTAGGCCTCATCATAAATAAATGATACTGCTTCCTACAGTTATTTGATTAAAAGACAAAAAAAAAAAAAAAAAAAAAAAATGCTTCCCTTACAGTTATTTGATTAAAGACAAAAAAAAAAAAAAAAAAAAAAAAAAAGAAGAATCACCACTTTATGGTTTTAGTTTGGAATGAGGGTCATTACATAATGATGTTGCCTGCCAAATAGATCAAAAAAAAAAAAAAAAAAAAAAAAAAGAAGAATTCCACCACTTTGATGGGTTTTAGGGTTTTGGAATGAGGTCATTCATAATGATGTTGCCTGCCAAAATAGATCACTGTGTTAAGTTACTGATCTAATCGAACAACTCATTTTGCAGCAAGTGGTGATGCTCGTACATAGTCACATGAAGTGGGAATCATCTCCATAAATAAGTATTTCAGAATTTCCATAATTAGTAAAATTGACAAGCTGATGTGATCATCTCATCATGATATTTATTAAAGTTTCGATTTGCACAGAAGATATATTCAATTTTAGTGATAAATGTAAGTAAATTATTTTATGGAAAAAATATGACTTTCTCCTTATATTCTGGCATAATTAAACAAAACTATTTGAAATTTAAGTCATTAATGGCTCTAAATTATATAGATAAAATAATTTAATTTTGAAAATACAAGGATAAAGTAGTTATTATATAAAAATACAGGGACAAAAATATAATTCTTTTCTCTTCTATTTCATATGTATAAAGAGTCAATCCTGTAATTTCACTAATACTTTACAATTTAAATCTCAAACAATAGAGAGATAATAATTTGGTTTAATGAATCCAAAGTATAAGGATAAAATAATGTAATTTTTAAAATACAAGAACAAAAAAAGTTAATTATGCCAAACACAGGGATAAAAATACAATTTTTCCTAATTTTATTAATCTTAAATAAAAAATGAACTTAAAATGAGTTCAAATTCGAGCTTAAATTAATAAATTATTATATAAAAACTTGTTATTCTTCAAATTATATAAAAACAAAGATGTTATTAAATTCACGAGTCGTTCGAGTCAAGAATTATAATACTCAAAAACTGTTCGAGTCAAGAATTATAATACTCAAACTTTACTCGATTCATTACTCGAGCTATTCAAACTCAAATTCTACCTGTTTAAAATCAACCCTGTCCACAATGATAAACATATTCTCTATATAAGAAGGCGGACGGTGCAACCCCAAAGTCATTATTGTAAAAGCAGCACCTTCCCACTTTTACTAGGCAGGCTTAGAGTTTCTATGTTGAAATGGAGGTTGAGATTACAGAGCAAGGAAGTTTTGAAGTATACCTCACTGAAAAAAGCATTGTTAAAGCTGCCAATCATTTGCCAACGCCTCAAAGGCTAGCTCTAACAAACCTTGATCTACTTTCCGGCCGTTTCCCAGTGACATACCTGTATTTATATCAAAACCCTCAAACTGTTAGCTTTACCTCCATCGTTGAATCTCTGAAGAAGTCCCTTGCTGAAACTCTGAGTCACTACTATCCATTTGCGGGTCGAATTGTTCAAAATCCATTGACTAGTGAGCCAGTTATCATTTGCGACAACAATGGTGCCCTAGTTGTTGAAGGTCATGCCAATATTTCATTGAAGAAACTAGACCTTTACGATCTCAATCATTCTTTGGAGGGTAAGCTAGTCTCTATCAATCCAGATTTTCCATTACAAGTTCAAGTTACAAATTACACTTGTGGTGGCATCTCAATAACATTCACCTTTGATCATGCACTTGGGGATGCAAGTGCCTTTGGTAAATTCCTTCTCTCATGGTCTGAAATTGCTCTAAACAAGCCATTATCTTGCATGCCCGATCACCGGAGAAATATTTATCCGCGTTACCCTCCTTCTTATCACCCTTCCTTGGATCGAACTTTTGTCAAGTGTACCCTAGATGATATAATAAACATGCCAACTACCAACATCTTGCTTAAGCGCCTTTACCATATTGACGTCTCTAGCATCAATAAACTGCAACACATAGCTTGTTCAAATGGCAACAAGAGAACAAAAATTGAGGCATTCTCAGCCTATGTGTGGAAAATTATGGTTGCAACAATTGACCAAAAGCATGAGAGGTGCAAGATGGGATGGTTGGTCGATGGACGTGGCCGAATTTGCCGAGAACAGAACTCAATGTCAAATTACATTGGTAATGTATTGTCCTTAGCTGTTGCTGAGGCAAGCATTGCACAACTCAGGCAAGGGTCCATATCAGATATTGCTACCAATGTTCATGATGCCATATCACAGGTTACCAATAATGAGCATTTCCTGGATTTGATTGATTGGATTGAGTGCCACCGCCCTGGACTGATGCTATCGAATATTGTGTTAGGTCGGGGTGGTCCAGCTCTCGTCTTATCATCAGGGAGGAGGTTCCCAGTCGCTGAAATCAACTTTGGATTTGGAAGCCCAGTACTCGGCACAGTCTGTTCAACCATACAAAAAATAGGAGTTGGATACATGAATCAAAGATCGAGTGCTCAAGGTGACGGCTCATGGACTATATCCGCCATCCTATGGCCAGAACTAGCTGCTACCCTAGAGTCGGACCCCATCTTTGAACCGATGTCAGATAGCCATCTTCAACTCTAATGTTATATTTCCATAAATCTCCACCGGTTTCCACTGGTCTATTAAAAAAGAGTTGAAGTGAGTTTCCTCTTAAAAATGTAATTAGAAAATAGAGGGCAAAGACCCCACTTCCATGTATGTAATGTACTAGGCAGAACGGACACTAAATTTTATGTCTAAACTAGCCAGAACTCGATCCTCCAGTAGCTCAATCTAATAGTTCATGCAACAAATAAACTACCAAACACATTTACCAACAACAAATCAACAAAACACAACAAAATGATGACAAGCATTAGTAATCATCGACAAACATATACCTGATAGATTTAACCAACTCAAATAGGATACCATAATTTAACAATAAAACCATGCACAGGAATTAGTATCCGAAGAGTGCTGGTCACTAAATCATGCCCAAGTACAACATTAACTCCAGGGAATGAAAAATTAATCCGACTGCCAACTAGCAGCTGGCAAATGTGCATTTATCAAATTCTAGACAATCAAAAATCATAAGGAAGCACAGGCATATAGCCGATACATGTCATGAAATAAATAGCTGATGGATGTTACCTTGGTTGTATCCAAATCTTGAAATCTGTGCTAGTCTTTTAAATCAGGGCATTAGGGCGTAAGGCTTACTCCAGAAGTCTTTCAGTAGCTGAACATGTTAAGTTGCGGTCTTGTATGTCCAGGACTTCGAAGGTAAATGAGCCTCTCTGCTTTTTAGCAACATTTATTACTCTCACATGAACTGAAGACAAATTTACAACATTTAAATTTGTTGATGTCAAGTAAAATTCAGTAAAATAACACAAGGGCCAACTGCCTCTGCCTTCTATGATCATTGCTACCATATGACTACATCGAATTATGATTCAGTAACACGGAAAAATTTATTACATAGAAGAGATCAAGTTTCACTTTGGGGAGGAGAATAGGGTTCTGCCAAATACAAACAAGCTTAAGATTTGACTCCTACAGACAAGAATGTAAGGATATGTTGCATCCCCCTATTGAACCGAGCTGCCTCAACTGACATATGAGAAAAAATTTACCACTGTCAACAAAAACTAACTAAAATAACAATGGTAAAACTAATGGATTTCATTCTTCACTGCCCACAGTAAAAAAAATCACAAAACAGCTTCTACAATGGGCTGAAAACATATTCAAGTGCGCTATATCCAGCTGTAGCATGTTAAAAACATACCTATCTGTTAACACAGATTGCAGCATAACTCCAACGAGACCTAGATTGAGATCAATCCTTTATGTAAAAGATATTGAATTTCTTTCTTGCAATGTTCTTCAAGTTCTTTATTCATTAGGAATGGCCTAGTTTTGTTGGAATTTGGGATTCTCGAAAATCACTTTCATGAGGTAAATCAACAATGTTTTGTTCTGTTCCATACACCAGATAATGTCAGCAATGCCAATAATTCTTGGCAGGAACTGGCAAAAATGTATAACCTGGTAAGGTTGAAAAGTAATCATAACCCTCCCAAGTTGCCCGCTGATCATGTTGGCATCTACACAGCTGAAAAAGAATACCATGAGAATGCAATCCAAGGCATATAAAGATTTGCAAGACAACAAATTATCTCCAACAGTGACAATAAGGCTTTAAAATATTGCAACGGAAAATGGGTTTGGAATCAAAACCATGCATCAGAATCTGCCTCTACTATCATGAATTATTAGCAAAGTGACTCGATCAAAATAAATTGAAGAATTTAACCAAATATCATAATAATCTTGTATATGTAATAATTTATAATGAAGAGATGTAGTCAAAGAAATAGTCATAGTTACCTAGAAAATGGTATATTCCGGGTCACAGTACAGGTATGGGATATAATATGCTCACTAATTTAAGTGTGGTGCATAAAGGGTAGGTTTAGTTGGTACACTAATCCAGATTGTGGCATGTGAATTATGATTATTGGAGTTGCTAGGCTTTTGACTGGTCAAACTTTATATTTTACTTCACATTTTCATGTTTTTTTTTCAAATGTAAACGAAATAATAAATATTAAGATAAAAATTTAAAAAATTATAAATTTTTGCAGCATAATTTTCAAGAGCCACATATTTATATGGACGGGCCTTGGGCCTTTTTTACTGAAATATTGTAAAAGAAAAAATTGGGTCTTATAAATTAAAACAAGTGAGCTAATTTTCTGCGTGCTGCACCATTAAAGGGAAAATGACAAAAGAGAAGAAAATAAAAAAGCTTGTGACAGGAAGTACTTCTCTCTTCTCTCCATCTTCTTCTTTTCTTTTTCTTTCTTTCTCTATTATCGTGGTGGGGAACTCCGATGTTAGATATCCAGTATACACACAAAAATTATCTGGATCATGAAAGTACCAAATCTGAAACAGCAGTGTTCACTAAATAATGAATATCAACACCCTGATAGTATACAAGAACCTTCCATGTGCATTCCAACAAATTTCTTTTCTTGAATAACAGTCACGCAAACTAACAAAATCCAATCACATAATTTGGACCACTAAAGCACAATAATTAGAATCCTCTGGATGCAGACCTAATTATCACGAAGTAGTAGCACTCAAGTATACCAGTATCATTAATTTTTGTTACCATTCCTAATATTTTTATTACTTCCTCATTTTCCATTCTTTAAAATACTATACTGATTGTTCAATACCAATTTTAATACAAGAATTATTTTGCATCATCCTTCTCGCTGGTGCGACTAACTTTATAAAACAATTAATTAGTATCTGTCCTCATTCAATCTTAATTAAAAATTACCCAAAACAGAAATCATGGGTTATCTACATAAAAGAAAAGAAACAATAAAAGCTGGAAATCTATTTTTATATTAATTTATAGAAAGAAATTTGAGAAGGCATCAAAATTTAAATCATGACGGAATTTTGAAAAGCAAACAAGAAAACAACCATGGTGAACAAGTGCCTATCAATTAGACTGCTTTTAAGAACCATGTATCTATAACAAGAACAGACAATGTAGCAGATGTACTTGCAACTGTTATAATAGTACGAAATTCAACCTGAACAGAAGAACAAGTAAGCAAATTGTGATATAAAATTGGGCATGGTAGAAGCACAATTTTCTTTTTGTTTTTGGAAGTACCTTAAGCCAAATTTGTGGATGCAGTGAGCCAAGACCATCCTGCACAAAGCATACCTACAAATTAATAAATCAAGTTCAACTACAAACACTATCAAGTTAAAGCACGATCCTAAAGTTTAAAAAAGACAATACATGTAAACATACATGCATATGAAAGAATGATGAGATAATGAAACGAAAAGAAAAATGTTTAAATAAATTAACAAACCTCTGAAATTCAATGATAGCAATTGGGTTTAAAAGAGAACATGATAGAATATTCTCCATGGCAAACAATCAGCTTTCCTAAGAAAATGGGTTAAACAAGAGACGTAAATCAACCATATCAAAGTTGCAACCTTCAGGACATGAATGATAAAAATTTTGCTGCCACTCACATTTTATTCAGCTGATGAAATATCAACCGTTTTAGAGACAACAGCATCCCAGGTACAGTTAAACATCCAACAGTTCAGAATCATTCTTGATTTTTAACTGCAGATGACTGATGCCACCCATCAATCAATGTCGTATATGTAATGTCATCTAAACATACTCCACTAGAGGACATATGATCACATACTTTAAAAGCTTCCCCTACCTTCCCTTCCTTACAAAAACCATTTGTAAGTGCATTGTAAGTGACAGCATCTGGAACAACTCCTTTTTCAGCCATCTCATTCACAAGCTTAGCTGCTTCTTTCATATTTCCCATTTTGCAATATCCATCTATCAGGATAGTATAGGTGACTTTATTAGGATGTATATTATGAAAAGACATTTCCTGCAAGACATTATCAACTTTATCCATCTGCCCTAGCCTACAATAACCACCAATAAGTGCAGTATAGCAGACAACATTTGGTAACAAGCCCTCCTTCCTCATCTCATCAAGAAGGTGAGTTGCATCATCTAAAAGGCCAATATTGCAGAGTCCATTTATAAGAGAAGAATACGTGGCAGAAGTTAAAGGGATGCCTCTATTTCTCATGTCATCACGGAGTCTAAAAGCTTCCATCATGTTCCCAGATTTACAGTATGCTCTGATTAGTGTATTGTAAACAACAGAGTTGAGCTCCATTTCCATAGTAAGCATCACTCTGAACAAGTTTTCAGCCTCTTCAATTTTGTTGGCTTTACAGTATCCATTAATCATGACTCCATATGTATAAACATTTGGAACATGACCATTTCTTTTGCATTCATCCCAAAGCATGCAAGATTCTTCTAGTCTGCCTTTATTACAAAGCCCATGCAATAGCAAATTGTAAGTATGTATGTCTGGCTGAATTCCTTCTCTTATCATCTCTTCCTTAAGTTTAAAACATTCCTCAACTTTTCCTTCCTTGCAATACCCTAATATAAGTGTGTTGTATGAGATTTTGTCCAATATTAAACCCCTCGCTAGTATCTCCTTTAGAAGCTTAGCAGCTTCTTGTACGTTACCAGCCTCACAAAGTCCATAAATGAGAGCATTTGAAGTAACTATATTGACTGTGAAACCTTGCTCCAATAGACTAAACCAAAGTTTTATTGCCTCTGATTGCTTACCAACCTTACACAGCCCACTAACCAGTGTGGTCAGCAAACCATCATTGGGCTTTAAATTTCTTAATAGCACCTCCCTAGTAAACCTTAGTGCAGAATCAAACCTAGACTTCAAACATAGCCCATGAATAACTGAAGTAAATGCACCCTGGTTTATCACTAAACCTCTCGATAGCATTTCCTCCAAAATGCATTCAGCATGTTCTATTTGATTACTCTTGCAAAGGCCTAGTACAATTGAATTAAAAGTAACCGAATTGGGACTTATTCCCTTGGATACCATAGTATCTCTTACTTCCAGTGCCTGACTAATATTACCTATCCTACAATACCCATCAATTAATGTGTTATAGACAACATTGTTTGGCGCAAAACCTCCGTCATACATTTCCTTCAAGACACAGTAAGCTTCATCAAATCTCTCCAACTTTACCAACCCATTAATTAGAATGCTATAAGTCACTACACTTGGGTTCAGCCTCTCTTTTACCATCTTTTCTTTAAATTGAAATGCCTCATTTACTCTGCCATTCTTGCATAAGCCATGAATAATATTATTATATGTGACAACGTTTGGAGCAGTACCCATCTTTTCCAATTTAAGAAACAATTCAATGGCATCCTCCAGTCTGCCTCCCTTGCAAAAGGCATTAACCATGGTACTAAACAAGTAAACATCTGGAGTGACACCACCATTACAAATCATATCGAACACTTGATAGCTCTTTTTCAACTCATTACCTTTCACTAAAGAACTCAACAAAAAAGTGCAAGTCTTCATAGAAGGAAGCAAACCCTTACCGGCCAATAAACTAAACACATCAAAAGCCACATCAAAACCTAGATGTTTAAATTGTGTACAATAAATATGTATAATCAAATCAGCTAATTTAACTACAACAACGGGCCCAAACCCCGAATGTAGATCTACAATTGTCATTGCAATCTCAATATGCCTCCTCTCAAACTCATTGGCATAGAGAACTGGCAGCTTCCCGTCAATCAAACGAATAAGAAGCAATCTCGCAGCTGATAAAATATCAGAAGAAACTAGCAACCGAATCAAAAGGCAATAAGAACGTACTGTAAAACGAAAATTACGAGTACTAGATGCAAATTGAAAGAATTTTAGAGTGGTTTGGGGATTCACATTTGGTCGAATATCAAGGAAACATTGATCGAACTCTTGCGGAGTCAAATGCTGCAGGAGTTTTTCACATTTAGAATATTTAAAACGACGATTAGAGAGAAGAGCAAATACCAAATTGGTTAAACTCTTATTTGAAGATTTTTCTCGGGTCTGTGGCTGCAACGGAGGCTCTTGAGGATGCGTTTGGTGTCGTTGTTGGGTTGTGGATGTGAAACAGGTCAAAGGGCGTGTAACGGGAGGATAAAGAAAGGTGGGTTTGATGATTGCAAGCTTCCTCAAATCCATTAAAGATTGCATATACGGAGAAGGAAGGGAAAAGATATTATAGCGAATCGGAGAGGTTTAAAGTGTCATTGGAGAGTATATGATCTGATGAGAGGATGTGAAAGAGCCACGATATACTGTACCGCAGCCTGCGAATGTGAAGTGGAGAGGTGCATTAGCCTGCCATGGAGAATAGGCTTGTGCCGCCAAAGAGCAAGGGGGGCAAAGTCAGGGTTGGGAGAGAGACACGGAGAAAAGACTGACTAGAGTTTGGGCTTCGAAAATTTGGATTACCTTTTGGACCCAGAGACGTTAGGCCCAAAGTAAGAGTTACTCCACTTCTATTAGTAATACCAACGAGCATAAATTCCGGGCACCACATGCCGGTTAATTATCATAAATTAATATTTGTAAATTTAATTTTAAAGTGTATTATAATGGTGTTGACTTCATTCATGATAATTTCAACTCATAATATACTAACAGTAACATAAGTATATAATTATATAAGAAATCATAATAGTATTTATATATTTTGGTCTAATATAGTTTGGTTAAAATATATATTATTGGATGATTATATTTTTTCAATTAAATGAAATTAAAAATCTATGCATGTACGTTTATGCTTGTATTGAATTAATATAAATATGCAATTTAAATAGCAAGTAGCACGTATAAAGATGATCTTTTAAAAAAAAAAATGGTAGGAATGTAGTTAAGGAAGATAAAAAAAGAAAACTTGCATGGGCAAACAACATTGTTATATTTATTATTGGTGGGAAAAAAAATTAAATATAGTCGATATGAAAAGAAGATTATTTGAGAATTTCAAAGTGAAATTTTTATTATTATGATTATTATATTATTATTGTTATTATATATAATTCAACAAAGTAAATAAATTTGCCATTAAAATTTTGTACCAATAGAGTAATAAATACATAATAATATATAAATAAATAATAAATTGATAGAATAAATTTATAAGATTGACTTATTATTATATACATTATGTATTATATATAAAATTATCAACAAAGTAAATAAAATTTGCATAAAGGATTTAAGTAGCCTCACCAACTAGAGTACATAAATAACATAATAATAATTTCATAAAATAAATAATAAAATTGATAGAATAAATTACTAAAGATTTATCACTCCTCTCAATAATTAATAAATAAGAGAGTAATAAATACATAATAATATATAAATAAATAATAAATTGATAGAATAAATTTATAAGATTATCACTTATTAATAATAATAGTGGTGGTGGTACGTTTTTTTTTAAAAAAAAAAAAAAATTATATAATAGACACATTTTAACATAAAAAAGAAAAGAAAAGAAAGATAAAGAATGTATTATAGGCAGGTTGACAGTTTTGGGCTAACTGGCCCATTGCAGGAAAAAAACGTTTAGTGAGAGGTGCTATTACTAAGGGCAAAAAGAGAAAAAGGTTATGGCAACAATAAACCATTTATACCCTTTAGATATATATAATAATATAATCAAATAAATTTATGGGGCAATTTAACGAATATCATATATCAGTTTTCAATTTTAACAAAATGTCAAAAAAGAACACTTATTAAGATAATAATAAATTCGGTAAAAAAATTTCAATAATATTAAAACTAACCTTGCAAGAGAAACGAGAAACACTGAAAAAAATGAAATATTAAAAAAAATGCTGAAAAAAAGAAAATACCAAAAAAAAGGAAACACTGGATAAAGGAAACACGGAATCTATAAGAGCAAATCTTGATATAGCTTTTGTGATTCAACCACGACGATGACAACCGGTGATGGTAACTGATGACCAGCAAGGATAATAACAGTGACGGTAAAAACGATATACACGATATATACAATGTGTGTGTGTATATATATACACTATATTAGTAAATACTGTAAAATCAATTAAACGCAAAATAGATATATATACACCAATTAGCACATTTGATCAAACTAAATAAATACAGTGTATATATATATATATATATATATCAATGAATACTGTAAAATCAATTAAATACAGAATTATACCTCAATGTGTGTTGTATATATATTACCACTATACTTAGTAAATACTGAAAGAGTCTACATTGAATCGCAGATATCTAGATTATAGTTATACACCACATTAGCACATTTGGATCAAACTAAATAAATATGTCTGGTTTAGAACTATGAGTACTTTATATAATATTAGTATAGTACCCTCTAATGTTAATACTGTAAAATCAATTAATATACTAGAATAAGATATATGACACCATTAATACCATTGGGTCTCAAACCAAGTAAATGGTCTCATATATATTAAATCTATATTAGTATTCAATCCAAACAGAATCTAAAGTCTTACTTTCTATCTCACCAATATTACTATTGTATTTTAAAAAACTTATGAATAAAATTGATAAAGATATTTATTTATATATATATATATATATATCAATGAATACTGTAAAATCAATTAAATACAGAATAGATATATGTACACCAATTAATACATTGGGTCAAACCAAGTAAATGGTCCATATATATAAACTATATTAGTATCAATCCAAACAGAATCTAAAGTCTTACTTTATCTCTACAATATTTACTGATTGTATAAAAAACTGATAAAGATATTTTCAACAATAAATAACAAATCAAAAACAGAAATCAATATACCTTATGAATCAAAAATGAAATAATGGAACAATACCAATAATGAGAAGAATGATAGCAAAATTAGAAAAAATGATAAGAAAATAATGAACGGTAGCAAAAGGAGAAAGAACAATAAGAAAATAATGAGGCTGAAAAAACGGCAATGGAAAAATATTAACATACGAAAAAAAAAGGAAACAATGGTAAAAATAGGAAATTAATACAAAAGGAAACACTAACATATCAAAACACTCAAATATTAACAAACTAATGCCTATCAACAAAAAAAAAAGGCACAATAGTAAAAGTATATCATAAAGGACAATAATTTAAATCTCAAAGTCAAATTGACATTTTTTTTAAATTAAGTTTTAAAAACTAATATTTAGTACAATATCCCTATATTATATTGATGGAAACTTATAATTTTGTCCTTATATTTTGCTAAAAATAACTAGTGTACTCTCACATTACACTAAAATTTTCATGTATTTTACCTTTGTTGAATTATGTTGCCATTCCGTACAAAATTTTTTTATCTTTTACTGTTAATTTTTAATAAAATAATGAAATTGTCTTATCTGCTACGTCTTAACTCTCTCCTTCTTTCATCTCAACTCTTTAACTAAAAAAAAGCTTAAAGAACAATTTAATCTTACATCCAAATAGAGCATTATAGAGAGTGTTCATACAAAAACCTCCTAACTAATAAAGTTGTTCGAGTTCTATTGAACCGCGCCCTGCAATCCACCGCCGCCATCCTAAACGACTTGTTTGTTTTAACTTTCATTGATAATATGTTTCAATCAATTTTTTTTTGTTCTCGTTTCTTAGATTTGATATTTTCTTTTTCACTGAACAAGAAATATATTTTACACTCATAGGTTTAGCATAAAAGGTCATGGTTTATCCTGTCATTTCACGTATCCTCAGCAAGAAAGTCATCGACGAGGTCTCTCTTCCAATTGTTTATGTTCACTTTCTTTTTCTTTCTTTTTCTAGCATTAATTAAATAAAAATAAAATCAGGCTCAGTTTGTTTGAATAGGTTTATTTAGATTAGATAATTTCTTTATATAATTATATAACTATGATTTTTTCCTAAAGCACATTGGTTATGTGTTGGCAAAATTCACATGTTAATCTTATAGTTTGAGAAAGTATCTCGGTGATGCACTAATCATATTACCTTCCGAATGTGGGCAGTAGAGATTTTAGCTTTGATGGTGATATATATTCAGAAGGGTATTGTAACATCTCCAAATAATCATCATAACACAACAACACTTCTATATTTTTTATAACTATATAAATCCTCAATAGCATTTTAATGATCATCAATTAAATGCATTCATTATATAGATCTTTAATCATATTACCTTCCGAATGTGTGTGGCGAGTAGAGATTTTAGCTTTAGATCGGTGACCTAAAAAATATTCAGAAATGGTAGTATATAAATTTTGTGAACTATCTCATGAATAATCATCATAACAACTCAACAACACTTTGTCTATATTTATAACCTATTACTAAAATCCTCAACCTAAATGGCATTTTAGCTATGATTCAATCAATAATATACATACCATGTCGATTCATTTTGTTATATATATCAAGTCACTATTTCCCTTGATTATGTTTCTTAATCATTACCAACTATCTTAAATAAATTTTTATATTTAATCAGTTAATGACTCTTAGTGGGCTTTACTTACTGCAAATGCTTACCTACGATCCAATACAATTACTTGGGATACTTATATGCTCCTCAAATTATATAATTTCAAATAAGCATAATCTTCCGAAAATATAATTACAATCCTATTACATTAGCCATAAATTTCTATAATTACATGTACATTACATCTATTCTACTACTACCACCAAATAATTCGCATTTCCCGCTCTGATGCTTACTCTCTGGTCTTTACATAAGATTGCAATAACTTTTCTAATCCTACTCTTGGGTCTTTTGTTAACGCTGCGCGTTGTTAAAAATATCATACCGCTGAGTATAAAACTTCAGTGAAATGTCCTGATTTCCATAAATTTAACAATACTCTTAACCCATAGTGTTTTACAGATGGACAAACATTATATACCTTAACTATCAAAACACACACACTATTCACCTCTAATACCCCAATATTCATGTTTACCATATCATTATGATGAGTTATTAGCCAATGTTCAACGTACATTTATAGCAACATAGAAAATATAACAAACGTACACCCTCTATCCTCAACTTTATAAATAACGAATTAAATAATATTAGATGTTAGGCCCTTTTGATACCATAAATCCTTTACATAAAACATTTAATCACCATAAATACATTTAAGTTCTATTATTCGTTCCACCGAAGCAATAATACAAATAAATCCAATATAATACATAGAGTGAGAATTTTTAATTCTTTCAAACATAAATTTCATTACTTGGACATTTATTATACCCAGATACACCAACTATTTATTATAAAACCATGTACCGAAATATCAACCGCGTTTTTGAAAAATTCTTATTCCTCGTATAACATAATC